AACTGTCATCCCTGGAGGGAAGGTTTCCAAGACTGTTTTTTTCTGGTTGAATGCCTTGGTGTCACAGTGCCATCCCCCTAATACTAATGAAGTGATAGAGCATAACAACTCTCATCTGTTAAACTTGTCTGATTTGCATCCATGTGTCTACCTCCTTGGCTAGGCCTGGCCCAAGACCCAAAGTCAGACCCATTCCCTGTTTTTACGTTCTGTCCATTGATGCCTCCTCAAGAGTAGCGCTTTGTTTGGATCCGTATGTGTTTTTCCTACAACTGTTTTTCAGTATCAGCTACAGTGAATGCAATACAGACTGTTAATACTTATGTGTGTATTTGGATATGAAAATGTTTTGGGGTTCAAAATACTCAACTGACTAGAGCTAATATCTGAATAATAGGGAGGCTTTGGGTCATTATCCAAATGGGCAAAGATGGAGAAAGACTCCAGAGGGGCAAAATGACTGAAATTCCCTGGGACTAGAAATTGGCATTGAAAAGAAGAGAGATGCTCTTTCTTGCTAATTAACCTCTTCAGGCTTTCTGAAGTGAAAACATTGCATATTGCATACCCATGTAGTGCACATAAGGGAAGTGTGTTAGGAGAGCCTGCAGTACATGGCGTATGAAAAAAGGCTGATAGAAATTGTTTTGTTCAGCCTCCAGAAGAGGTGGTGAACTGGGGATTGCTGTCTTCAACTAGCTAATGGGAGGGTATAGAGAAAACAGCGCCAGACTCATCTTAAAGGTACCCAGGGATTGGAAAAGAGGCAATGATCACAGCCAGAAGCACAGGATATCCTAATTCGACACTGGGAGAAAAAAATTCACCATGAGAGTGGTCAAGCACTGTAGCAGGTCACCCAGAGAAGCTGAGAAATCTCCAACCTGGGAGGTACTCAGACTGGACTGGACAGAGCCCTGAGCAGCCTGACCTAATCTAGACCTACTTTGAGCAGTGGGTTGGATCTGATGACTTTCAGAGGTCCCTTCCAGTGGAGATTATTCTGTGAATCTATAGCTGTTACTTAATAGGTCTGCAAAGTTTTGGGATTGACTGGGTGCATTACTCTTCTGGCTGTTTAGAGGGCAGGTGAGTTTGAGGGAGTGTATTTAGAAATACAGCTTAACCTTGACAGTGTCTTTAAACTTTGCTATTTAACTGTGCTGTGGTTTTGAGAGGCTCTATAAAATGTCTCCCCTCTTCTCTTTTAACTTCCAGCTAGGTGTTTTTGCTGTGTCTGCCAGTAACACTATACATAAGTGCATCTGTGTTGAGACTGCTACCTC